CAGACATACAACACCTTAAACAAAGTAACCACACACACACTCTCACCCTCAATACAGACATAATCAATACAGACATACAACACCTTAGACAAAGTAATCACACACACTAACTCACCATCTATGCCCTGCAGATTGCCTGGGTTGTGCAGTGGGGCGAGTGGGATGGCTTCGTTGACTTTCTGTATGACGTCGTCGTCAATTTTCACACTTCGTGTCAGCGACTCCCCTCCATGCACCACACGGTGGCCTATTGCGTACATATCGCTGTTCTCCGTACCCCCTGTGTGTATGGGATGTCAATGACATTGTCAATGTCAATGTCCATGTCCATGTCCATGTCCGTGTCAATGTGCTTAAGATTCACATGCGCGTGTGGCTGCAGTACTATGAACAGGTCAGCGCTACGTGACCTGCAGATAAATCATCACACGCACATAGGCCTCTGAGCTCATAACTACACAACCCACAGCACGCAACAACACGGGACGATGCACCACACGAACTACGTACAGACCATTCAAACACATACCCACAGTACACACATACGCACTAGACACTACACACTATACATTCATGTGACACTACACACTACAATTCATGTGACACTACACACTACACACTACACATTTATGTGACATTACACACTACACAATCATGTGACACTACACACTACACATTCATGTGACACTACACACTACACATTCATGTGACACTACACACTACACATTACACATTCATGTGACACTACACAATACACATTCCTATGACACTACACACTACACATTCATGTGACACTACACACTACACATTCATATGACACTATACACTACACATTCATGTGACACTACACACTACACACTACACATTCATGTGACACTACACACTACACATTCATGTGACACTACACACTACACATTCATGTGACACTACACAATACACATTCATATGACACTACACACTACACATCCATGTGACACTACACACTACACACTACACATTCATGTGACACTACACACTACACATTCATGTGACACTAC